GCTTGTCCAATGAGAAAGGCTTGAAATCCCAAGCGGGCGGTTGCAACTGCTGGAGGGTTTTATGACCCTTTGTCTCTAAGCATGGTATTTCGCGTATGTAATTCGCTTGGGTGTCGACGAAAGATTACTAAAAGTTCTTAGAACCGTAATATGTTGCATAGGTATAAACATGCAATATACACTCTCAATTAGATCATCTGAATACGAATTAATAGAGACCAAACACGGTATATGTAAGGTTACATGAATGAGTGGTTCTATCATAAGCATGAATAAAATAGTCTACAATACAACAGATAATATACAAGACAGCAATAATATACACCATGACCTGAAGGATATGTGTGTTCATTCAAAGAAAGGTGTTCCTATCAATTAGTTAGTAGAAAAGTCCACTTCTACTGTGCCTTGTGCCTCTTGCGATGGAACATGCAGTGATTTTCCCTGCTTCGCATTCCATTAGGTCGTAAATGTATCTGGTGTCAGGGTTGCCATGGTAACCAGGGTCCTGGGCCCTGTTCACAGACAACTTGGCACCCAGTATGTTTATTGGGTGAGGGGTCTGTGAACGTTTGTTAATCTAATGAATAATTGATATGTTAAATCAAATGAAAAATGGTGTGTCTGATTGGTCCAGACGCTACAGGTGATTGGATAAACACCAGAACAAGTCTATCCAAAACCCAAAGTGGTTTTAGCCTTGCAAAGTACTGTACCAGTGGTTACAGCTAAGTTACATTACTAACCCTACGCCTAATCCTCAAGAGCAAATTTGTAATTAACATACTTTGAATGATTTAAATTGATATGCGAGTTCATTCTGGTAGTTTTACTCATGTTTTAGTGTATTTTAATAAATCTAATTATAAAATCTACTGATTAAAAATGTAATCAAATGAACTGCATTATATGCCCATTAATTAATCAAATTAATCAGCATTAATGACATAAAAAAACTATTAGAATTTGCAGAGAAAAGCCTACAAATGAAGATAATTCAAAGCCTACAAACATACTGAAATAAGTGAAATGACTGCGTCATTTAAAGGGGTCATATGATGCGATTTCAATTTTTCCTTTCTCTTTGAAGTGTTACAAGCTCTTGGTGCATAAAGAAGATCTGTAAAGTTGCAAAGACTAAAGTCTCAAATCCAAAGAGATATTCTTTATAAAAGTTAAGAATCAGCCACGCCTACCTAAAACGGCTCGTTCTAACACGCCCCCACATACCTACGTCACGATGTGGGAAGATTTGCATAACGCCGCCCAAATGTTCACGCAAAGAAAGAAGGCGTAACTTTTATTCTCGTTGTAGTATTGTTGCCGCCGCCATGTTGTGAAGGCAATTACACCAAATACACAAAATAATGTTCCTTTTAGCAACATCATATGACCCCTTTAATTAAAGTGCATTTTTATATTGGTCTAATAATAATAATAATTAAAATGGTTTCCTATATGAACCTCTGTTTAAATATTAAAGAACATATACTTACTGCAGAACTTATTGTGGTTTTTATTTTATTTATTTATTAGTACATAGCAGAAAATATTATGCATATTTAAAAAAAAGACACCACAATAAACATTTTATTATATTATATATTTTAATCATTGTCTTTATTTACTGTATAGTAAGTAAACCAAATGAAACGATGACTAACAAAATGTTAGTTTTATCTTAAGTGAAAACTCAACTTTCCTATTATAGCTAATTTATGTCTTATATTGACCTACATTAAGTAACATTTTGGCTCATGTCTATAGAAAATATATTAAGTATGGAATTTATGATAAATATAATAATACCTTTATAATATATTTTTACTTTGTATGATTGTTTATGTCTTTGGGAAAAGAGCTATTTTTGATTAATATTACATTTTATAATATTAAATTTTTTTTTATCCAAGTTGGTCCAAAGTATTTTTTTTTTTCAGTGCATTATTATTTGGAAGAAAATATATATTTTTTCAGGTTTCTCAACACACTATGCCCATTTGCCATTGGTCAATCAATCCTGAATATATATATACATATGTATATATTTTTTTTTTAGCAAACCAAATTAAGCAGAAACCCCTCCTTGCAGCAATTTCACTGGCCAACTTAATCATCTAGTCATCTGTTAAGAAAAGTTAAAACTTAAGAAAAATCACAAATGATCCACTGAACATTATGTTTAGGGTTAGGAGTTTCAGCATTCATATATCTTTGACTGACATGACCAATGAAACCTACAGAATAATCTACCTGCTGGGGTTATTTTAAGATAAACTGCTTAGCTTTTTAGATGTTTTAAACACTTCACCATTAAATGGAAATGGGTGATTGAAAGAGGAAAACTCAATAAAGAGAGAAAGAAAAAAGGCAAAAGGAGGGGTATTTGCTGTGTTAAGGCCGAGGGGTTTGCAGTGCTATCAACCCATCACCAACTGATTCAGTGCTGGATTAATGTCTCCAGGTTACGTATGTAACCATGGTTCCCTCGAAGGGAACGAGACGCTGCGTCAAAATGCTATGGGAACGCCTCCAGCGTTACCATGCTCTGAATCACGTGTAATCAGTCCAATGGATGGGCATACATTTACTGGAAATTTGCAATTGTTGGGTTAATGTAAAAACATTTGTGATTATACTGTGAGTTTATAATATTAGAAAATACAAACAATCCTGTAAACAAACAACATGATCCTGTATTTCGACAATTAATCTGCACTATGAAGGTACCCAGCATCTTTTTTTCTTTTTCTTTTTTTTTTGGTACTTGTTGGTTTTATCTTTTAATGGCACAATTGTTGCATTGTTTATGCATTTAGATGAGAAGAAAAACATCTATAGTGAAAGCTACATCTATAAATAGACGTGAATTTAAAATAAGTTATCTTTATTTTTAATGCATCCGGCGGCAACCTCCAGGAAATTCAGCATATAGAATTTATCAATATGTAGGCCTATGTTCTAAACCCATGAACCCATGGCATTTGCATTGTTAGTGTTATGCAGGGATGTCACAATGCAGAGAAGTCTGTTTATTTTTACTTTAAGTATTGTTGTGTTACGAGAGAAAATTTCCACACCACAATAACAGACATAAATAAGGAAAAATAATAAATAAATAAAATAAATAAGTAAATAAATAATGTTCTACAGTCTCTGTGAATGACCACAAAAAAAAATATATATATAAAATAAAAAAAAAATATATATATATATAATGAATTAAATAATATTAAAGTCTATATCGAGATATATGTACAGATATTTAACTCGCAAAATGCTACTGTATAATAATCTTTACCCATGTGTCACTAAAGAAGACAATGTCACACTGGTATGAACCACAAACCAAACAGGAACCTGTCATTCTTGTCGAAATCGTGTGGAACTAATTGTCCATTCTTGCTTTAAGCAAATAACTAGACTGTAAATATTCAACTTTGCCCTGTTTTTGCCCTTGTATATTTCTTATCTTATCTAGGGCAAGAAAAGAAGAACTTCCAAATATGGACATGTGAATCTTTGAATTGCATTCAGATTGCATCTGAATCCAGCAGTGAGTAAGTCATCTTACATCATCCTCAATTCCAAGCCATTATCTCTTTCAGAATGCTAATACAGAGCTGGAGTAGACTCGAAGCTAATCCTGGATCAATGGCAGACACTTGCGTCCCAGCTAGAAGAGTTAACCTGGACTACTGCAGCAGGGTAGATTAAAAAATGGGTTGATGGTACGGGCAAGTTCAAATGTAGAGGTGTCAGAGGTCGTGAGTAAAGAGACACAATTACTCTGAGTCTTTCTTTCTTTTTCTCTCTGACATAGACATATAGAGTGGCAGATATTTGACTTTAGATGTTTGAAATGAGTTTTGGCAGAGAGATCAAAGTAGTAAAGCTGACAGTAATGTGGACGGGAAAGCCAATGAGTTGACGAATCAATCTCTGGAAGACTTATCTCACTCCATCATTACCCCGTCTCATTCCCCCTTCCTCTTACTTTAAACTGCTCTTTACCATTTTTTCCCCCTTTCTTTACCTTCTGGGGTTAAAAAACCTCCTAATTTAACTTTACAAGTGACAATTAGTTGACCTTGTATACACTCTTCAGGCTTTTATTTGCAATTTTGCTAATTCAGGTCTGTATGTTGTGTAATTGTCATGGTAATTGCATATAAACCATTGCCTAGTCACTTCAAGTCACATTGTTGCACAGCATTTATTTGTGAGCAAAAATGCGTGTGCATGTTAT